GAGAGGAGCCCAGTCTGGAGCAGGTTGCTGGTAAGACTTGTGACCCTGGGGAAACACAGGCTGGAGCAGGCTGCTCCTGAAGGACGGCATCCCATGGGAGGGACCCATGCTGGAGCAGTTTGTGAAGAACTGCAGACTGTGGGAAGGACTGATGTTGGAGAAGTTGGTGGAGGACTGTCTCCCATGGGAGGGACCCCATGCTGGAGCAGGGGCAGAGTGTGAGGACCCCTCCCCCTGAGGAGGAAGGAGCAGCAGAGACAACCTGTGATGGACTGACCACAACCTCTATACCCCTTCCCGTGTTGCTTGGGGAGAGGAGGTGGAGAAAAGAGGGGGTGAAATTGGGCCCAGGAAGAAGGAAGGAGTTGGGGGAAGCTGTTTTAAGATTCAATTGGTAATAAATTAAACTAACTTTCCCCAAGTCAAGTCTGTTTTGCCCATGACAGTAATTGGTGAGTGATCTCTCCCTGTCCTTTTCTGGACCCACCAGCCTTCCCTTATGCTTTCTCTCCCCAGCCCAGCTGAGGATGGGGAGTGATAGAGCGGCTTTGGTGGGCACCTGGCCTCCAGCCAGGGTCAGCCCACTACAGAACCATGTGGATGCAAGGTATCTGTGGGCATCCCCTGTCATCTCTCACTTCCCCATGGTTGTAGTGTAAAAGTCTGTCTCCTGTCAGCATCCCAAAGCATACTGAAGGATGGAAGCCGTGTGTCTTGTATCTTACCTCTTTGGGCAACCTCTTTTGTGTTTTAATGAGTATGTCCTTGGTTTGTGCTGTCCTTCATTTGTAGTGCCAATCTTCAGTCCCACAGATAATTAGGAGAAAATAACCCATGAAGCAAATTTTTCACAAACAAACAGATTAACAAAGACCCTTTGACACTTAAAAGAGGAAGTCCTAGCATTTACAGAGAACAACAACTTAATGAGCTGCAAAAAAACCCACTGGGTGCAGAATCGGAAGGATGCAAGTGCATGTGTGTTTAAAATGTGCTTTGCGTTCTATATACTCAGTGATCTGAGTTAGAGCATGCCACTGTCTTTTCCTCAGATCAGGAGACAAGAAGGGAGGCTGAACTCCTGCTTCCGCAGATGTTTATCTATGTCCTTAACTCATGCTGTTGTATGATGATTTTCATGATGATCTGAGAGTTCATATGATGAGATTAGAACTGTTCTTCCATTTGTAGAGACAAGGGTGAAGAGAGGGCTTACGGAATGGAGAGCTGATGAGAATCCAGAGTTGGGAAGGGGTACTTGATTAGTTTGGGACCTGCTTTTTAATTGCTTTTCATGATTGGTTTTTAAATTCTTTTTTAAATTGAGGGTAGGTGGAGATACTGGCAGTCTTCTTTGCGCTTTTTTTTCAGATTTTCAGATGTTTTAAGAAGGAGTGGGAAGCAGAATCTTTTGCTGGAATTTTGTGGAAATTTCTTGTTTTGTTTTATTCAATGTGCAGACTTTTCTGGTTTTGTTGACATTCTCACAAGCAGCAAGAGGGGAAATTTGTAGTGTTGTGTTTTGGGGGGATGAGTGTTAGCAAAATCAATAGGATTTTCTCTACGTTGTGAAAGTTAGAAACTCCCTGTTGCAAAAAGTCCAGAAAAATTCTGTGTTGAGATGAGATTGACACAGTCAGGCATACTAATTTGGGCTGAAAGAATAAGGTAAAGGAGAATCGTGCTAGTGTAGAAAATCTGTTCTTATTACTAAAAATTGATTTTGACCTTTGAGGAGACACTAATTTCACCTCCTGATAAAAGAAAATTTCAGGTGATTGCTCCAGGTCAGGCACACAACACTTGAAATATTCATCAGCAATCATGATTTGTTTTGACATGGTTTTTGGCCTACTACTGAGTATTTTGTATTTCTGTTTCTTGTAGGTATTTGCTTGCAGTCAGTGTTGCATGTTGGTTTGAATCTGCCTTAGCAGTTGAATAGTGTTGCCCGCAGGACCCAACGTTGTTCTTCATTCCTGTATGATAGGACTCCAATAATAAAAACAAGACAATAATCATAAATAAGACTCCAATGGTAAAAAAGACTTCCAATTTGTAATTAGTTGGGTTTTCTTGCTCTTCTCTTGCCTAATAATTTCATTCCAATTTTTATTAATTCTTAAGAGCATTGTCAAAAACTACCGCATTTATTCAGACTGCTACAGTGCCTTTGGCTCCCTGTCACTAGGATGGCTGAGCTAAGAGTCTAACAAGAAAACAGCTCCCGTGACTTTGACAATAAAGTCTTTATAAAAGTCTTATTCTCATAAACTAACTCATTTTCAGAGTCATCTCAGGCAGTAGAATGCCCCAGCCTCCCCACCTGTGTTCAAGCGAGATGTCTAGGTTATGTTCTGCTGTCCATGCCAGAGAATAGGTCCACGTGTTTTTTTTTTTTTTTTGAGCAGAATTTCCTCTCTTAGCATGCTGTGTTGAGGGCTATTATAGCAGAATCACTTTTAATTAGCACATATGACAGTCATTTAAATGTGTGTTTCTAGTAATGCTGGTGAAGAGTCCCTAAACAGATGGGGGGAATTCATGTGGGGGTTCAGATCAGAACTAACTCAATTGAAGAATTAGGAATCGTTCGCCCATTCAGTGGGTATCAGTTAAAGGCAGTGTCTGGGCATGCAGATCACCTTTCCCATTTTTTGTATAGTCAAGAGCCAAATAGATTTGCTCTGCCATCTCTATTTCTTCTGAAACTGTTCGCCAAGTAGTTGTCTCAGCCTAAAAACAGGGATTGGTTTTGTTCCATTATTTAGTTGGTTCTTCTTAAATAAACTCTGGATCTAAAAAAAGAAACGTGACCTGCCCAGTTGTATATCCAGGTTTGGGTTGCGTTGATATTTGGAAAAAGAAAGAAGGGAGTAACAGAAGTTAGACACACAGATGCCCACAGCCATCTGCTCCTCTCCTCACGGTCATTAGACGTTCAGGTTGGAATAGCTCTCTTTTCCTTCAGGACCACGTTGGCTGGCTTTAAAGTGAGCACAAAATGAAGGGGAGACATCTTGTAGGCGGTCACAAACTCCCGCAGATTTGCAGTCTGGTTTACATAAACCCAGCACTACTCAAAAAGCATCGCAGTCGTTAGCCTTGCTGGAAAGCCGTTTTGGAGTGATGCAGGGCTGCTATCACAGGCTGCATGGAAGAAACTCAGGATTCTTCACGGGCAGGATCACTATTTCCCAGGGGTGGCTTAACCCAGCAGACTGTCTGTATCTGCAGCTGTACAGAGCCCATAGAGACAATATAAAAATAGTAAATTATTAATATTTGGAAGACATAAAGCTTAATGTATAAGTATATAAGTCACATCCCTTTCCTTTTCATAGAAAATTAGGCTGGCTGTATTCTTTTTAATTTTCCTTTCATTGAGCATTTTACTCCTGTTGCTGCTTCTAAGTCCCATAAGGTGCTGAAATTTGGGATACATTTATAGAAACTAAGTAAGTTATACAATGGCCATTCAGGCTGAGAGAGGGGAGGAGAGTTAGGGCTGTTTTCTGGAAAGGGCTTTTGCTCATTGTGCTAGCAGGTAGGGAGGGTCTGGAACAGCTGAGTGGTTGCAGATCTCCTTCCAGCAGTATCTCCCGAGTGATGTAGCAAAGGAGACCCCACTGCATGCCTGCAGAGACATAGGCATGCAGAGGTACAGTAATTTTGCCTCTGGTTAATGAAAACCTAAATGTTCAGGGTGTGTCCCAAGTCTCATACCTGTGCTTTGCTGGCAGCATAAGCTGGGGAAAGCCTTTTAAATAAGCATAGGTAACTTGCAGTTTAAAGAAGACTGCGGTGGGATTTCATCGCGGTCCATCACCACTCTGCTGCAACCGACAGGAATCAAGCCCTTGACCTCTATCAGAATCTGCGTTGGGCAGTGCTAAGTCCTTTTGAAAGCCCAGGCAACAAGCACATTTGGAGATCGCGTCCTATTTGAAGTGATGGTTTCTCTGCAGCCCTGGCCAGATTTCAACCTGGATAACTTTGCTCCACCTGCTTAAAATTCCTCTCTGTGGTGTGTCACTGAGTATGGCATGGGCCCCTCCTGTTCGTGGTGCTGCAGTGTCTCCCTTCCAGTTTCATACCACCTGCTCATAAACTGATTTCTAGATCATCTTTGTCTCCATTTATTAATCGACCTGGCTTCCTTGTAATTATTTCAGAGGATCTAAATGTGAAAGCAGTATGTGTATGTGCAGCCCTGGTGCTGTACAGTGCAGTAGCTTCTTTTGGTGTTCATCTGCAGCAGGTTGTCGTCCCTTCCTGTTCCTTTTTCCGCTGAGGTTTGGGTTCACCCACATTAGTCTGAAGTGACCTGTTGCCCCTGATGAGCATGTCCTTGTTGGTAGTGGAGTTAGAGAAGAGCTTTCCCCGGGAAGAAGGGGGAACTGGTGCTCAGCAAAGGTGTGGGATCCACCCAGGTCACAGGGTAGATCAGATGTGTTCTTCATATAGGCACAACAGGCAAGGTATCACCTTTCCTTGCTAGAAGATTTTATCACAGTGAGTTTATTTTGTGACTTCCACACAAAGTCTGCTCCTCTTCCCATTCATCCTGCTTTCACTTCCCCCCCCCCCTCCTTGGTATGTCATTATGTTTTCATTAATGTAACAACAACAGGGTGGCTCTTGTTACTTTGTCCCCAATACTGTCTTCTTTATCGAGACCTTGGAATTGGAAGATCCTTGAAATCAGAAGATCCTTGAAATCCATGTCTTTTGTGCAACTTTCAGGCAGAATCAGGTGCTTCACTTTCCCCCTTGCCCCCCTGCCTGCAAGCATTTCTCTCCAAGCTGTAAAATCAGTCTGTTCTGGGTACTTTTTCTTTTTTTTCTTAAATCTGACCGCTGCTAACACTGTGTTTCTTTCATTAACAGATTAGCTTTACAGGAAACCTGTTGCCAACAGCCTGCCCTGTTGTGGCCACCACTGAGCAAGAAAACTCCAAAGGTGAAGCTGAAGGCAAACCACATCTCGCAAACAGTTCATGGGGACTGTACCAGACCCTCAGAGATCTGCCAAGCTTTCCCTGGTCACAGCTTCTGTGGAGGAGGACCACCTGGGAGACCTGCAGCCTCTGAAGCACCAGCCCCAGCTTCCCAGTGGAGAGAGGACCAGCAATGGCTTCCCATGCACACCATCTGGCTCAGCTGGAGTTTGCTTGTTCGACCTGAAGTGCACGGTGGCTGCCGGCACGCAGCAGTGCGAGCAGCGCGGCAAGGACGATGCTAGCCAGCATGAAGCCTTTCTTCCTGGGCTGGCCAGCAAAGCTGCGGAGGAGTGTCCTGCAGCCGTAGAGCCTGCTGCTTGCTCCTGGTCCAGGGACAGCTGGGGACCGTCAGCGCCAGCCCCCGCTGCAGCAGCAGGAGTCCTCTTGGCAGGGCAGGGGCCAGAGATGATGCCAGCCCCTCAGAGCTCCCGGCAGTTTGTGCAAGGCAGCCAGGCGAAAACGTGCTCCCTGATGCAAATGGATGACTCTGCCTTGAAACCTCAAGGGACTGATGATCAGTCAGCATTTGAGGTGTTAAATTATTCTTCCCCAGGTGACCCTATTAGGGGTAATGAGTCCTGTTGTACTTCTCAGGCAAACCTTCTGCAAAGAGGGGAAAAAGACAGGGAAGTGGAAAAAACTGGTTCTGCTGCATGCCAGCCAGCCTCGTCAGCGAGGCACACCAAAGCTGACCTGGAGAGAGACCCACAGACCGGTTTGGAGGCCAAAAGTGGGGCTGCAGGCACCGTGCAGTTGCATCCCACAGACAAAACTGAAGAAATGCAGAGCAGCGAGGCACCAGCCCAGCCTAGCCACGAGAACCCACGTCCCATATGCAATGCGGATGCTGAGCCAGGGAGTCCAGGCCCCACCCAGCTCTCCAAATTCAGAGAAATGGGTACAATGACGGTTCAGTCGGAGAGCAGCTCTTTAACTCAGGAAGCAGTAAGCAGGACATGGCGAGATGCTGAGGTCCAGGCGGTGGCTACCGTGGAGAGTAAATCGGCCTCCACCAGCCCCAGCATCCTTGCTGCCTTCTTAAAAGGGAATCCTCCTCCGGAGGAGAAGGAAGAACTGCACATAATTTACCAAGGAGGTATGGGGCTGAACCAGTCTGCACTTACTGACATTTTCTCCTCACAACAGAAGTCTCCATGTTCTCCTGCTATCACGTCAAAATCAACTGTTGTTACGGCTGTGACTGCTTCATCCCAAACCCAGCCTGTCAAACTGCCTGGGGTCCCACCTGATGTGGTGTCTCCAGCCTCAGCAGATAATGCAAAACCTGCTCTCCCCTTCTCCCCTGCAGCTGTTACCTCCCAAGGGACATCTGTGGGTCAAGCTGACATGATCGGCGCAGCCCATGATGGCAAGGATGCTGCTCGGCTGCTGCTGGATGCTCCAGTCACACCAGAGCCCATCCCTGTGGAGCAGCTTGCAGTTGACCCCAGTAATCAAACTCTGGCTCAGTCTGGGTCTGGCGCTGGTGAACCGTGCACGACTTCTGCTGCTGCTGTCCCAGGAACCCAGAACACCGTGTGTGATCCTGTCCACGAGGCAGGAAGCAGCTGGATACCTTTACTCTGTAGCGCACCCGGTGGAGTCAAGCAGAAGGAGGCCCTGGGCAGCTCTGACCACAAGCCTGTACAATCCAAGGGTGCGGGCCAAGGGGAGGCCGTTCCTAACCAGTGTGTGGTAAAACCGAAGGAAGAAAACTCGACGGTGCTTGATCCTAAAGGAGGGCTGAGTGTTAGCAGCCAACCTGCTGCTGTCCACACAGAGGTGTGCTCAGAGGATGCAAGTGAAAAGGAGAAGAGTAGAGGCCGGGGAGACGCTGGCCAGGCTCAGACAGCCAGTGGCCAGAGCCTGCAGGCAGAACTGACACCCGAGTTGAGTGCAAGCTCTGCACGTCTTGCCCCTCTCTCGGAGGTGTCAGCAGCTCCCCAGCAGCAAGGCCTGCAGGCTGAGGAGTCCAGATGCAAGCGCCATGCAGGAGCTCTTTCTGCTTCAGCTCAGGCCTTGCCCATCCTGGGGGAAAACAGAAAGCAGCCCACCCCGGCCATGGAGGCAAAAGTCCAGGTGAAGCAGTCCAAGCACGTCAGGGATGTGATTTGGGATGAGCAGGGCATGACATGGGAGGTTTATGGGGCTTCCCTCGATCCAGAATCCCTGGGAATTGCCATCCAGAACCACTTACAGAGACAAATACGGGAACATGAAAAACTGATCCGGGCCCAGAACAGTCAGACCCGGAAATCCATTTCCTCAGATACATCCTCAAATAAAAAACTGAAAGGGAGGCAGCACAACATGTTCCAGTCCATGCTGCAGAATTTCAGGCGTCCTAATTGCTGCGTCCGACCTGCTCCCTCTTCCGTGTTAGACTGACGTGGTTTGCAGGAGTGCGTAGATGTCTGCAGCGGTAGAGAGAATCCCTCTCCTCAAGTCTCAACTCCTGCTGTTCAGTTGTGTTATTGGGGTTGTGATGCAGCAACTGCAGAAAATTATTCCCCTTTGTTTTCTGAGTAGCCACGCGCTCCATCACGCCGTTATTTTTACAGCAACTGGTGTATTTCCACGTTATGCCCCTATCCTGATTACTGTCAGGTGAAAAGCTAGGCACTTAGCAAAAGCACAGATTTAAATTGCCATCTTGCTGCAGGGAGAGCAGCACCTTCTGATAAAGGAAGAAGCAGATAGGTTGTCAGAATTATTATGGGAAGTTATTTGTGTGCATCACGAGGTCTTACACAAAGCAGCAGGCCAGAGGAAGCTGGGTGAGGTGAAACTAAGGTCCAACAGCTATAAAGACCTAATGCAGGATAACATTCCTGGTGTGTACGTCACCCACGCTGAGGCAAGTCCATGAAAAGGCTATGGACATTGATCACTGAGCAGTCTCATTTGTGTTGTTGATACTGGGGGACACTGTTCTCATGTGAGCCCCAGGGAGACAGGTCTTCCCCCCCACTGAAACAGAGAACCAGACAAGTTGAAGTTAAATCAACAGGATTTTGATGTCTAGAAGGGGAGGTGAGAGAGGGATATGTTCTGTGGGCTTTTTCTCCCCTGCATCAGCCATGCTTAAGGTACAAGCAGGCAAGGCATGAGAAAGCACATCAGTGGAGGTACCCACATCTGACAGGACAGTGCCCTTGCTCACACTCCAGCCAAGCCTTTCAAAAGCAGTGAGACGGTCTGGCTCCTGGACCAGGGTGGGCAGACCCCACTCCCAGCCTCCCACAGCATGTGGCACCTCACCTCTAAATCACTCTTTAAGGTGATGTGGATATTTTTTCTCTCTCTAGAGACGCACAGTAACATTTTCACAGCATTACAGCATGGTGGGGGTTGGAAGGGACCTTTAGAGACCATCTAGTCCAACACCCCTGCCAAAGCAGGTTCACCTAGGGCAGATTGGACAGGAACACATCCAGAAGGGTTTTGAATATCTCCAGAGAAGGAGACTCCACAGCCTCTCTGGGCACCCTGTTCCAGTGCTCTGGCACCCTCAAAGTGAAGAAGTATTTCTTCATGTTGAGATGGAATTTCCTGCATTCCAGTGTGTGCCCATTACCCCTTGTCACTGGGCAGCACTGAAGAGAGTCTGGCCCCATCTTCCTGACACCCACCCTTTAGATATTTATAAGCATTGATAAGATCCCCCCCCAGCCTCCTCCAAACTAAATAGATCCAGCTCTCTCAGCCTTTCCTCATAAGAGAGGTGCTCCATTCCCTTGACAATCTTCATAGCCCTCCACTGGGCTCTCTCCAGTAGTTCCCTGTCTTTCTTGCACTGAGGAGCCCAGAACTGGACACAGTGCTCCAGATGTGGCCTCACTGGGGCAGAGCAGAGGGGGAGGATAACCTCCCTCAACCTGCTGGCCATGCTCTTTTTAATGCCCCCCGGGATACCATTGGCCTTTTTGGCTACAGGGAATGTTACTGGCTCATGGTCAGCTTACTCCCCTAGGCCCCTCTCTGCAGAGCTGCTTGCCAGCAGGTCAGCCACCAACCTGTACTCGTGCATGGGGTTATTCCTCCCTAGGTGCAGGACCCTACACTTGCCCTTGTTGAACTTCATTAGGTTCCTCTCCGCCCAACTCTCCAGCCTGTCCAGGTCTCGCTGAATGGCAGCACAGCCTTCTGTCACATCAGCCCCTCCTCCCAGTTTGGTGTCATCAGCAAACTTGCTGAGGGTGCGCTCTGCCCCTCATCCACGTCGCTGATGAATATGTTGAACAAATATGTTTCCTATAGGAGCAGGCTATTCTGTGCATCTGGGTCCATGAGCTTACGTGTCTAGTGTGTTACACTGCTCTTTTTTTTCCTTTTAAGTCCTTAGCCAAATCTACTTCGGTGGTTTTTTTCAGTATTTTGGTGCTTTTCTTGCTGCCTTTCATGAACTGAATACGATTTATTTAGCCTGTGCGTATTTTGTTTTACCTAATGCTCTCTCTATTATAAACCATTATGTTGTTAACTTGAAACGTTTCCTTTACTGAAGTACTGAAATCTTGAGACAATCTTTGCTGTATTTCTAATGTTAGAAAAGTTGTAGAAACTGCTAATAAAAGGTAGCTTAGTGACTGTTTCTCCAGAAGTGTGATATACAGTAATGTGTCAAATGTATGTCGGTCACATTTCTCGATATTATTTTTCAACCTGGGAAATGTGTTTCCCATTAGCTTTTTATTCTGTCTACTAGAGTTCATGATGGGAGGCTGAACTCCTGCAGTTTATAGAAAATTTAGTGTTCAATCCTGCAAAGCACTGAGGATTTGCACTTTGTAATCCTGCAGAGTATTAGCGTTAAATAGGGGTTATTTTTATTCCATTAAAGATTTTTCATGAAGTATGATGATAATTTATTTGTCTAGTATCACACTCCAGACTTACTCTGTGGATCTTACTCTTGCAACTTACTCTGTAAATCTTACACATTTACCCAGTGTAAATGAGTATTAATATTCTTTTTTCTTCTTTTGTTTGTGAAGCAGACCTGAGGTGGTCCCCCTTTATTTAGGAGGCCAGACTTTCTGAGTCTATCAACTGCCATGCCTTCAAAGCAGCTGTTTTGGGGCATTTTTTTTTCCCCATCAGAGAGGTAGAATCCTGTAAGAAACAATATTTTGATCTAGTTCAATGAAAGGTGTTGCCCCTAGGTGTAGCACTGAATTAAGTCCTGGTTTTCCTCTGGTATATGGGGGCTTTATGGCACATCCTTGTTCCATTTCTGGACATTATTCCAAGTCCTCTCGCTCTTGATGGTGAATTGCTGACTGAAATACCACATTAGAGAGTGTCTTCCCACCTCTGCCTACCAGGAGGAAAGTGTCTAGTCTTTTTTCTTAGTTCCCATCCCCTCCCTAGCAGTTTCCGAGATGTGAGTTTCATGTAGAGTTTTGTGTGGGATTAATATTGGCAGTCTCAATAGGTCAGATTAGTTGACAAGTTCAGTGTCTCTTCCCACATTGTGTCCGTGTCAGCCCTGAAGAGGTGCCCAGAGTTGTCTGTGATGTTTGTTGTGTCCTGTCCAGGTCCAAGGCTTTGCACTGCTCCTTCTGCCTGCCTTCTCCCTCGCTAGCTGCTGCCCAGCCTGTCTTCCTGCACAACCGTGTCCCTTGGCTCAGCTTGCGTCCCTCCCTCCACTGTCCCCCTCGCTGTAGCATTGTGAGCCAGCTTACTCTGAACTGTCCCTTTACAAATATGCTGAGTCTGAATATATAAATGGATTGTCATATTTTTTTCCAGAGGAGAATAAACGACTATCACGCATTCACCGATTTCCATGAGCTTTATCCTTTAGCTTAAGCTCACCAAAATATTTCTCACATGTGGGTATGAGTTGCTTTATTGAGACCAAACTGGGCTTGGCAGCGAATGAGCAGGGTGCTGGGCCAGCACTGGAATTAACTCTTCTTCATGAGGAATGTGAGATCTCTTCTGGTTCCCTGCGGCTGCTTCCAGCTGTGTGTCTTCACCAGCCAGTCCACCCACACCTCCCTCCCCACACCAAATGACCTTACGTATTTCATCAATATGTACGTACCAGAAAACACCAACGGGCAAGTGGACACATCTGAACAACTGCATGGGTGTAACTGAAAAACCCCGTAGCAGTCAGCAGAGTACGGTGCTTCGGTATTGTGGGAAAACACGAGTGAGAGACAAACTGCAGAATGTTGGTGACGCTGCCTGGGGGGCATGAGAGTCCTGCAGGCATGCATTCAAAGCCAAGCAATAATGTGCCAAAAACCAACACACAAAAATGAGTTGATAATCACCAGCACATCTCATGGAAAACATTTTAGGTTCTCCCTTTGAGTTGCTAGGGCAAGCTGTAGGCAACCTGCTAGCTTAACACTGGCAATTTATGCTTTCTCCTGCATACAGTGTCCAGAGGATGATGTGAATCCTCGTAGGGATGATTCATCTTTCACCAGCAGCAAAACAGAACCATGTTTTGGGTAGTAGTTAGCAAATACTATGTGTGTGAGTGGTCTTGTAGCAGCCAAGAAAGACGACTCTTGGTGTCACCGGTGTCAAAAATGAAGGTGTGCTTGGAGTAGCCGTATGGCAGAGGGTAGGGGGAGATGATCCATGTGACACCACCCTGCTCAGAACCACATTGAATTGGCTGAATGGTTAATAACCAAGAAAATCTACTTGGGCTAATAAAAAGAGGGTTCAATACAGAAAATAGTTTGTCATTCCCAAGAGTAAATCTGTAAAAAAAAGACCTGTGTTGCAGCCTCACCCGTTGAAATAACTTCTAAATTCAGTTTGTTGCAAGATGAGAAATTTTGGAAACATGCTAATTCCCTGTTGGTTGTATCTTCTTGGAAGGTTGATGTGCCCAGAACCATTAATAAAAGCAGTGAATGAGAATGGAAGAGTTACTTCTAGCTGCACTTTAGGAGCTTTCCACTAAGAAAGATGTGAATAAGCATGTTTCAGTGTTTCCAGTACAAAACCTGAGTTGAAGGAGAACCTTATTGCAGGCAATTTGCAATATGGTCCTGGATTTCCTGTGAGGCTCTGACATCCACCACCACATGTGTGTGCTTGGTTGGTGTCTGCTAGCTTTGTGTTTCCTTGGGCACAAGTGCTGAAGTCCTGCCTCAATTATGCTGACTTGGTTTGGAAAAAAGAGTGGGGAAAGAGCTGGAGCGACAAGGAGGAGAGTATGTGTCTTCTCCATTTCAAAGGATGAAAACCTTATGAATATACAAGAAGGAATTTCTGAGAAACGTGAGGAGGGAGGGACCAAAAGAGAAGTAAAACAAAGTTGGTGTAAGTGCTTCACAAGGAATTCCCATTCTTATGTCTGTAAAGCCAATACTTTGCTTAAGTTTTGCCTCTTTGTTCAGTCTGAGCTCACACAT